TCAGAGGATCATCGTGAGTTTGAAACCAGGCTGAGCTAGAGTGAGATCCTGTTTCAAGTGTTTATTTTATTTTATTTTGTGTGTAGGTGTTTTATTTGTGTCTATGCCTCTATGTTATGTGCATGCCTAGTACCTTCGGAGGCTTCAGAGGCTTTCAGTTCCTCTGGGACTGGAATTATGGATGGTTGTGACCACCATGTGGGTTTTAGGAAGAGAATCCTGGCTTTCCGGAAGAGCAGTCAGTGCTCTTAGCCACCAGGCCATCAGTCAAGCCTCAAGATCTTGTTTCAGAACCAAAAATCAAGACAGAACAAAGGGCTGAGTGATGTGGAAGAAAAAGCAGAAGGTAGTGTTATACAGACTTCAAGAGGGTTAGAATTTAAGCAAAGTGGGGAATGCTGAAGAGGCATTAAGGGAAATGGAGCCTAAAAAACATCCTATAGGTTTGGCAACTTGGTAGCTAACCAGAGAGAGCATCTTAGAGAGAGGGTGGAATGAATTATTTCTCTGATAATTCCATGCCAGAATCTAGTTTGTTATTGAGGCTAATCTTTTGTAACACTTGCGATGCCAGGAAGCTGGTCACAGTGCTGACTGCCGCTAGGAAGAGGAAGTGAGTGGCTGCGCCTAAGTTTCACTGAATACCTTTTCCTCGTATTTTTTCTTTTACAAAAATTGTGATGTTTTCTTTGTTGTCATTTTGAGAGTTAGTCTCACAGTTTAGTCTTAGCTGGCCTGGAACTTGCATTTAGACCAGAGTATCCTTGAGCTCACAAAGATCTGCCTGTCTCTACCTCTCAAGTGCAGAGATTTTTTTTTTGCCCCCCCCCCCCACTTTAGAAACATTTATGTTTTCCAGTCTGGGCACGGTGGCAAATATCTTTAATCCTAGCACACTGGAGGCAGGTGAGTCTTTGTAAATTCAAACCCAGCTGGTGTATATAGCGAGCTCCAGGTAGTGAGGTCTACACAGTGATACTTTGTTTCAACAACAAGCAACAGCTACAGAGTATATCATTTATTCAGGACAGACAGAATGGTTTAGTGGGTAAAAGTGCTTGCTATGCATGCCTGATGATCAGACTTTAATTTCTAATCTTATACTGAAAGGAGAGAATTGATTCCACAAAGTTATCTTCTGACATCCACTTGTCTACCTCCTCATATAAAATAATAAAACTAAAAATTAAAAAGATATTATTTGATGAATTAAAATATTTTGTAGTGAAATATAGGTATCAGTTATTTTCTATTCTGTTGTCCTGTGATCAGATATTATTATCATTATTCTTTGTTTATATATTTGTTCCTCCTTTAGACTGCAGGCTCTTGGAGAGCACACTGTCTACACTCTGCTCTCCAGTGTCGCCAGGATTTTGCATAAGAGCTTGACATGTAACAGATAATGATCACTATTTAATGAACCAATGGTTCCTATCCTTTCTCTTGGTTATAGGAATTTTAAAGAGGATAAGATGTTTCCTCATTAAATGCTAGCATTATATAATTAACAGTAAGGGTTAATATCAAGGAATGGTGCCCTTTGTTATTAAAAATTTTATACTAGTATTGTTGTGGGGGGGTGGGCGGGGCTTGTATGCCATGTTTTTAGATCAGAGGACAACTTTGTCAAGTTGGTTCTCTCCTTCTCTCTTTACATGGGTTCTGGGGATTGAAGTCAGACCACCAGGCTTATATAGCAAATGCCTTATCAGTTAAGCCACCTTGTAAGTCCTTCATTATTTTTATTTAATATGTATAGGTGGTTTGCCTGCATGTATGTCTGTGTACTATGTACAAGCAGTACCTGGGGAGTCCAGGGGAGGGCATTGGCTCCTCTGGAACTGGAGATTGGAGTTTATAGTTGTTAGATACTGTGTAGATGCTGAGAACCAAATCTGGATCCTTTGGGAGAGCAAGTGTTGTTAACTGATGAGCCTTCTCTCCAGTGGATTGCTTCAGTCCTTTTAATGCAGGGTGTCTTGTAGCTCAAGCTGGCCTTGAACTCCCTATGTATCCAGAGAATGCTGAACTCCTGATTCCCCTACTTCAACTTCACAAGTGCTGGGATTACAGGTGTATGCAAAAGAGTGGCAAGCCTGACTGTTGTCTGAAGTTTCAATGAGGCCCAGAGTTCTGGGAGCAGTGTGCCCATGACCACGCCCTGAATTTCTGGCATTCTTTCTAACTCTGAGATGAAGTCTTAGACATTTTGGTCTTTTTCTTTATCAGTTTTACCATATTTTTACAATGTCAAATGTTTAGAAGTAAAAAAAAATGGTTAAATTAAAAAAAAAATTTATCATGCTGAATGTACCCCTTTAAATTCAGTACTTGGGAAGCAGAGACAGGCAGATCTCTGGGTCAGGCCAGTTTGGTCAATACTGTGATTCCAGACCAGCCAGAGTTGCATAGTGAATCTTATCTAAAAAAAAAAAAAGTTTTATTTATGTGTCTCTGTGTGAGTATGTAAATATGTGTGCAGCTGATGGTAGAGACCAAAGGAGAGCATTAGATAAATTCCTTGGAGCTGGAGTAACAGGCAGTTGTGAGCCACCCAATGGGCAGGAACCAAACTCAGGTCTTTGAAAGAGTACAAGTACTCTTAGACATTGCGCCATTTCTTGAGCCCCTCTCTTCAACCCTCCTCCCCCTTTATTATTATTATTTTTTAGACAGGGTTTCTCTGTGTTGCAGCCCTGGCTGTCCTGTAACTCTATCTATAGATCAGGCTGGCCTTGAACTAACAGGGATCCTGCTGCCTTTGCCTCCTAAGTGCTGGGATTAAAGGTGTGTGCAACCCTGCCCAGCCTATTTCTTTCTACAGTTATTTTGTGTGTGTGCACACGTGTGTATACACATGAATGTTTGCATCTGTGGATGCCTGAGACAAGGCATATATGAAGGTCAGTGGGAATCTGTTCTCTTGCCTTTGCATCGGTTCCAGGGATTGAACCCAGGCCATTAGGCTTGGCAGCAAGTAGCTTTACCAGATGAGCCTTCTTACATGACTCTAAAAAATATTTTACTTACTTAGGCAACAGCCTGTGTGTTTGTTTATTCTTTTTTTTAAATTTATTTATTTATTAAGGATTTCTGCCTCCTCCCCGCCACCGCCTCCCATTTCCCTCCCCCTCCCCTGATCAAGTCCCCCTCCCTCATCTGCTGGAAGAGCAATCAGGGTTCCCTGACCTGTGGTAAGCCCAAGGACCGCCCACCTCTATCCAGGTCTAGTAAGGTGAGCATCCAAACTGCCTAGGCTCCCCCAAAGCCAGTACGTGCAGTAGGATCAAAAACCCACTATGATTATTCTTGATTCTCAGTATTCCTTATTGTCCGCTATGTTCAGGTAGTCCGGATTTATCCCATGCTTTTTCAGACCCAGGCCAGCTGGCCTTGGTGAGTTCTCGTTTGTTTTTTTGAGACAGGGTTTCTCTGTGTAGCTCTGGCTGTCCATACCAGCCATTTAAAGTGACTGAGAGGAAGTTTTTGGATGAAATGGTAGTTTAGAGTGCAGGCTGGTCCTGTACTGCACACCTATATTCCCAGCACTCAACACAGAGGTGGGAGGGTCTCCGTAAGTTCAAGGCCAGCCAGGGCTGACTAGTGAGACCATTTTTCAGGAGAAAAAAATTTTCTGCCAAAACTCAATGTTGAATTTAAGGTAAAAGAAAGTAGCTGAATATTTTATTGCAATGGAGTGAAATTTAAGAAAATGATAAATTTAGTCTGGAGAGATGGTTCCAGCAGTTAAGAACACATACTACTCTTTAGAGTACCCAAGTTTAAGTCCTAGCACCACATTCAGGGGATCTGACACCTCTGGCCTCTGTAGGCATCTATACTCTCTAGGGGGATGGATACCACACTTAGAAAATAAAACTAAGTCTCTAAAAAAAAGGTAAAATGATAAAAATCATTACCTTTTTGGTTTTTATTTATTTAAAAAAGAAAACACTATCTTTTTTCATTACATATACCAATCCAAGTTCCCACTCCCTCCCCTCTTTCCATTCCCTCCATTTCCCCCTCTCCACTCCCCATCCCATCCTCAGAGAGGGTAAGGCACATTGCTTTGGAGAAGGTTCAAAGCCCTCCCTACTGTATATATCTAGGCTGAGCAATGGTTCCCTCCAAAGAGAATAGGTTCCCAAAAAAACCAGTACAAGCAGTAGGGATAAATCCTGGTGCCACTGCCAGTGTCCCCTTAGTCTGCCCTAGCCATGCAATTGTCAGCCACACTCAGAGGGACACTAGTTTGGCCCTATGCTGGTTCCTTCCCTGTCTGGCAGGTGTTGGTGAGCTCCCATTAGCTCAGGTAGACTGTGTCAGTGGGTGTCCCCATCATGGTCTTGACCCTTTTGCTCATATTCTCATTAAGTTTATGAAGTTACCTTTGCCTTTGTAAATAGTGGATAGCTGAGTGTTATACTGAGTGTGGGATTAGATGGTACTGCTTTCATTCCAGTGGATATGAGTAATCCAGTGTAAGTCATATGACTCCTTCTTCCTAGGAAGGGAAGAACATTGAGTAATGAATTGATAAGGCTTTTTTGTAATTGTTGTTTGTTTTCTTAGATACTTTCACTATGGAATTCTGGGTGGTCTGTGACTATATAGATTAGGGTAGCCTGGAACTCAAAAGAGTTCTGCCTATCTCTGCTTCTCAAGTGCTAAGATTAAAGATATGTTTCACTATACCAGATATAATGGTGCATACCTCTAAGCCAGCACTTGAGAGGCAGAGGCAGTCAGATCTCTGTAGTATGATGCAAGCCAGCCAGGGCTACATAGCAAGTTCCAGGCCAGAAAGGGCAAAAAAAACAAAAAAAAAAAACAAAGAAAAAAACAAAAAAAAAACCTGTCTTAAAAAATGATAGAAAGGAGAGAGAGAGAGAGAGAGAGAGAGAGAAGAAATTTCTAGCTCAGCACTGAGAGATTTAATTTTTTAAAAATAAACTATTATGACCTTCTAATTCAACATTGTGATTTTACTGCAGGATAAATAAAGAAGAAAGCAGGGAAGGAGCAAAACATTAATTACACATGTAATAATAATGAGCAAATGTGTCAGGAAAAAGTATATGAGGACAAATGTAAGGTAGGTGGATATGTTTCCCTCTTCTTTGGAAAGTCTTGCCTAGAGCCAAAAGTTCCAGTGATAAGAAAATTAGTGGTGTCTGTGTACACGCATGTCTTCATGTGTTCATGCATCTATGTTGTCAAGTGTTTAAATATTTGAGTCTATGGGGGACCCATTCAAACCATCACATCTGGCTTTTATATTTTTCTTTCTTTCTTTTTGTTTGTTTGTTTGTTTAAATTGATTTTTATTTTTATTTTTTTTAAAGATTTATTTATTTATTATGTATACAACATTCTGCCTCGATGTATGCCCGCACGCCAGAGGAGGGCACCAGATCTCATTATAGACGGTTGTGAGCCACCATGTGGTTGCTGGGAATTGAACTCAGGACCTCTGGAACTGCAGCCAGTGCTCTTAACCTCTGAGCCATCTCTCCAGCCCTAAATTGATTTTTATTGAGCTCTACATTTTTCTCTAATCCTCTCCCTGCCTCTCCCCTCCCCTTCAACCCTTGCCCAAGGTCCCCATGCTCCCAATTTACTCAGGAGATCTTGTCTTTTTCTACTTCCCATGTAGATTAGATCTATATATGTCTCTTTTAGGGTCCTCATTGTTGTCCCAGTTCTCTGGGATTGTGAATTGTGGGCTGGTTTTCTTTGCTTTATGTTTAAAAACCACTTATGAGTGAGTACATGTGATAATTGTCTTTCTGTGTCTGGGTCACCTCATTCAAAATGATGTTTTCTAGCTCCATCCATTTGCCTGCAAATTTCAAGATGTCATTTTTTTTCTGCTGTGTAGTACTCCATTGTGTAAATATACCACATTTTCCTTATCCATTCTTCGGTCAAGGCGCCTTTAGGTTGTTTCCAGGTTCTGGCTATGACAAACAAAGCTGCTATGAACATAGTTGAGCACATGTCCGTGTGGCACGATTGAGCATCCTTTGGATATATACCCAAAAGTGGTATTACTGGGTCTTGAGGAAGGTTGTTTCCTAATTTTCTGGGAAATCACCACACTGACATCCAAAGGGTGTGTACCATCTTGCATTCCCACCAGCAATGCAGGAGTATTCCCTTTACCCCATAACCTCTTTTTTTTTTTTTTTTGTATTTTGAGACAGGGTTTCTCTGTGGCTTTGGAGCCTGTCCTGGAACTAGCTCTGTAGACCAGGCTGGTCTCGAACTCACAGAGATCCGCCTGCCTCTGCCTCCCGAGTGCTGGGATTAAAGGCGTGCGCCACCATCGCCCGGCTACCCTATAACCTCTTCAACATAAGTTGTCATCAGTGTTTTTGATCTTGGTGGCCATTCTTACAGGTGTAAGATGGAATCTCAGAGTTGTTTTGATTTGCATTCTCTGATGACTAATTTTCTCTTAATAGAATAAAACTTCCTGTAATATGATCACCTTATAGAAAGATACCATATATAAACCATTAACATAAAATGAGTTCAGAAGTAAAAATATAACAAAAGTTATTCCTTGAACAGTGATTTTTCCCGTATTGCTAACTGAGGGTCTGAGGATATATGTCAGTGGTAGAGCACTCCCTGGCATGCATATAACCCTGGGCTCCCCGTCTTAGAGCTTTAAATTGGATGAATGAATGAGTAAATAAATAACTGGGAACTGGAGGAAGGTACTCAATTCTTACTGATTCTACTTTGCTGGGAGACTTGTTTTTAGAAGCTGCCTGCTGCCAACAGATCCAGGTACATAATTAAAACAAAGTATAGACAATGGAGAAGGAAATCTTCCATATCACATCACAGCATAAAGCTGGTGTATTAAGACCTGAGGATTACTGATGCTGAACTTTTCCTGTAGTATTTCACCTAATGCTGTTGTTCATTCATACTATACAGAACACTTATCAAGAAAACAATAATGTGGCTGTTTTAAGTCTTAAAAATTATGTTTGTTATTGTTTGTTGTGTGGAGGTCAGAGGACCACTTGCTTGTTTTGGATTTCTTAATCTACCCAGAGATTGAACGCAAATCACCAAGTTTGGCAGCAAGCACTAAACAGCCAATTCCTATAAAATACATTATTCCCTTAACATCTTTTGTGTTCATTGAGCACAAAATTAATGTCAGAGCATTAAGACTCTATTACTGAGCCTATTTCCTTTGCCCTTTTTCCTTTTTAGTTATTTTTATTTATTCTTCTCTCATATAATATATCCTGACTGAATTCTTCCCTCCTCCCATTCCTCCCAGTTCCTCCCAGCTCCTCCCTGTTCCCCCAGATCCACTGCTCCTCCATTTTTATTTAGAAAAGAGCAGGCCTTCCAGGGATACGAACAGAAAGAACATGGCATAACAAGATGCAATAATACTAGGCACTAACCATTATGTCAAGGTTGGACAAGGCAACCTAGTATAGGATTCCCAGGATCAGGCAAAAGAGTCATAAACACCTTCCCTCCCACTTTTAGGAGTCTCACAAAAACTCCAAGCTAAACAAACAGCCACAGATGTATGTAGCACAGACCAGTGAAGGCTTTGTGATTACTGCTCCAGTCACTGCGAGTCCCTATGAGCCCTGCTTAGTTAATTCTATGAGCCATGTTCTCCTGGTGTCCTTGGCCCCTCTGGCTCCTACAATCCTTCCTCCCCACTTCTGTTGGGTTCCCTAAGCTCTGCCCAATGTTTGGCTGTGGTTCTCTGTTTCTGCTCCTATCAGCTGACAGAGGAAACCTTTCTGATGATTATTGGGCTAGGCACCAGTCTATGAGTATAGTAGAATATTAGAAATTATTTCATTGCTTTTATTTTTTTTTTAATGCAAGTAGTGTTTGATTTTACCCTATGTTTCTGGGCCAGGCAGCTTCCAGTTTCTGGCTATCTAGGCAGTATCAGGCATGGGCTCAAGATTTTGTGGTAAGTTGGTGCACCAGTCCTACCACTGGAAACTTTGCCTAGTTACAGATGACTGGTTCAGGCTCCATATCCTCCATTACTAGGAGTCCTCACTAGGATCACCCTCATAGGTTCCAGGAAGGTTCCAATCTGTCCTGTTCTCATCCCCACCCACCCCCAGTCCACCTGAAAAATCTGTTTTATTTCCCCTTCCCAGGGGAGTCCATACATTCCCCTAGAGCCTCCTTGTTACTTAGCCTTTTTGGGTCTGTGGGTTGTAGCATGATTATCATTTTATTAACAACTAATGTCTACTTAGAAGTGAGTATATACTATGTTTTTCTGTGTCTGGGTTATCTTAGGATGATTTTTTTTCTAGTTCCATCCATTTGCCTGCAAATTTCATGATGTCTTTTTTATTTTTAACTGCTGAGTAATAAGTACTCTATTGTGTAGATATACTACATTTTCTTTATCTGTTCTTCAGTTGGCAGACATTTAGGTTGTTTCCAGTTTCTGGCTATTATGAAAAAAGTCACTATGAACACAGTTGAGAAGTGTCCTTGTGATGGGGTAGAGTCTCCTTTGGGTTTATTCCCAGGAATAGTGTAGCTGGATGATGGAGGAAGGTCATTGGCTAATAAAGGCACTGCCCTGGCCCATTTTATTGGTTAGAGGATAGGTGGGAGGAGTAAACAGAACAAAATGTTGGGAGGAAGAGGAAGTGAGCTCAGAGACTCGACCGCTTTCCTCTCGGGAGCAGACGCCTGAGAGAGACGCCATGCTCCTGGCCCCTGGGCAGACGCACGCTAAGAAGCTCCGACCCAGGATGGACATAGGCTAGAATCTTCCCGGTAAGCGCACCTAGGGCGCAACACAGATGATTAGAAATGGGCTAAATTAATATGTGAGAATTAGCCTAGAAGAGGTTAGATAGAAATGGGCCAAGCGGTGTTTAAAAGAATACAGTGTCAGTGTAATTATTTCGGGGCATAAGCTAGCCGAGCAGGCGGCCTGGGTGCTGGGAACGCAGCCCCACCGCCTCCCTTATTACTACAGCTGGATCTTGAGGTAGATTGATTGCCAATTTTCTTTTTTTAAAAATATTCATTTATTTGTTATGTATACAATATTCTGTCTGTCTGCATGTCTGCAGGCCAGAAGAGAGCACCAGACCTCTTTACAGATGGTTGTGAGCCACCATGTGGTTGCCGGGAACTGAACTCAGGACCTTTGGAAGAGCAGGCAATGCTCTTAACCACTGAGCCATCTCTCCAGCCCTGATTGCCAATTTTCTGAGGAACCACCATATTGAATTCCATAGTTGCTGTATTAAGTTTGCACTGCTACCAGCACTGGAGGAGAATTTCATTTCTCCTCATCTGCCAGCATAAGCTGTCACATGTGTTTTTGATCTTAGCCATTCTGACAGGTATAAAATGGAATCTCAAAAAATAGTTGTATTCCAGAAGTGAATATCAGATAGCTAGGTAAAAACAGGAGCCATATTTCTAGATCCTTCAGTTATTGCCTTAATTTGTTTTTCTTTTTGTTTTTTTAGGCAAATGACCATGGAAACAATTGAACCACAACAGCATCGAAGTGTAACACATTCTGGGGCAGAGCACAGCTGTGCTCATATGCAGACTGGACAAATTTCTGTTCCTACTCTAGCTCAGGTAGGCCACAGGCAGGCACTGATGAAAATTAAAATAAGTAGAAATGAGAATTGTATGAAGATTTTTTTCACTTATCTTAAACATCCCATATTTGTTTATTTGACTGATGAGAAGATATTTTTGCACTGTAACATACTCTTGGTAGTACCCTGACCCCCGCTGCTCCTAGCAATGTGGAAAGGAAAGAAAAAGACTTCTTTGTAGCATGTAAACTCCCAAGTGATTACTTGACTGGTTTGCTAATTCCATATATATACAGTTCTAATATCATATTTATAATGTTGGTGGGAATTTTCTATTTGCTCATTATATATTTAGTTTGATCTTTATTTTCCTATCAGTTAGATTTTGAATTTTTTATTAGTTCTTTGAGATTTTTGTATACTATATTTTGATCATATTCACCCCTCTTCAACTGCTCAAGTTCTTTCCCAACATTGTGTCCTCTTTTTATAATTACATTTTTTTTCTTTGTATAGTCCTGACTGGCCTGGAACCCACCATGTAGACCAGGCTGGCCTTGAACCCACAGAGTTCCACTTGCCTCTGCCTCCTGAGTGCTGAGATTAAAATCTCTTATCCTCTTTACCTTGACCAGTTGGGGGTCTCTGTGTTAATTTCCATCTATTGCAAATTGAAGCTTTTCTGATCAGGGTTGAGAGATGCATTAATCTATGACTATAATGATAAGTCATTAGGAGTCAGTTTAATACCATGTCCATTTAACAGCATAATGGTAGTAAGTTCTTCCCTAGATACTATGACCTGTCTAGCCATAGGCTCTTGGTCTAACAAAGGTGCTGGGTACAGGTTTCAACTTATCAGCAGACCTTAAATCCAACTAGAAAGTGGTTGGTTGATTTCGTGATGTTCATGTCACTCTTAAACCAGTGGCATGTCTTGTCAGGGCAATCATTATTGTGGCTTGTGTGGTTCATAAGTGGGTGAGATTGATTAATCCCCCCCCCCCAGTAGTGTGAATAGCACCTTGCTGCATTATGGAAGTTAGTAGGGATAAAGCTTTCAGGTCACTACTAGATTCTATGACTCCGGTGTGTGGCTTTTTCAGCAATAGAGTCTTACTGTCACATTTCAGAGGGTAGCAAATAACATTAGCTGTAATAGTTTGTAGTATGTGGGAGTCTGTTGTACTTACTAGTCAACAACTCAAAAGGAGATGATCCATTCCTAGTACTAGGGTTATCTTTACTGTTCTATTGCTGTGAAAAGACACTGTGACAAGGAAACTTATAATAGAAAGTATTTAATTGGGAGTTTGCTTATAGCTTTAGAGGATTAGTTCATGATTATCATGGCAGGAAGCATGGTGGCAGGCAGGTTTTGGCAGGCATGGTGTTGAAACTGCAGTTGAATATTTTATATCCTGATCTGTAGGCAGCAGTGAGCTAGCCTGGCCTAGTGGGGACTTTTGAAACCTAAAAGCCCACTCCCAGTGACACATCTCCTCCAACAAGGCCACTCCTCCTAATCCTTCCTTTTTCTGCTCTAGTTTGCAGAGTGAAAATGAGATAGTGGGGCCTAAAAATGAAGCAGATTAAATCTCATGCAATAGCCAAGTTTACTCAGAGCATTAGATAATTTATATCCGGACGAGTCACCTGACACAAGGACAAGATGCATGTGGCAAAAACTTATTTTTTTTTTTTTTTGGTTTTTTCGAGACAGGGTTTCTCTGTGGCTTTGGAGCCTGTCCTGGAACTAGCTCTGTAGACCAGGCTGGTCTCGAACTCACAGAGATCCACCTGCCTCTGCCTCCCGAGTGCTGGGATTAAAGGCGTGTGCCACCATCGCCCGGCTAAAAACTTATTTTTTATAGAGGCATATGAACCAGTAATAGCCACTTGTAATGAGTAATCTGAACTGAACTCACTTCTATCTACTATACCTGGAAGGGTATGAAAGCCCATTCATTCCAAGAACAACCATGCTATGGAGGAATAGAGGTCACAAGACTGCTGCCTTGTTTACTTGGAGCTTTCTCACAAGGCAGGCCTCAGAAATCTCCCACAGCTTCATTCATGGACTGTGTTCTGACATCTTTCCCTTATTTATATTTTTCCTTTTTTTATTTTAAAAGCAGGATATCCAGTGGTTTTGATTTGAGATGTTGTAGAGCAATCTAATTGTCATTTGATGCACAAGTATCCTATAAGCAAGCAAATTATAATATTTGAAGTGAAAGCATTATGTGTAATACTGTGCCACCAAGAACAGAGATCCAAATTATGCCCAGACACACTATTATATTGATCAGAAAAATCTAGAGAATATCTTGAAATGCTGTTCTGAAAAGCTATTCTGGTATCTGGTAAAACAAAAGTACATATATGCCTTCTAATAGGAATGCAAATTTTATAATGGCCGTTGCAAATAGGAAGCAATTTAAATTCCAAGAAAAAAATTAAACACAGTCTCTTCCTAGATGAATGAATGTGTCTATTACAGTATCAAGGTCCAGGCATAAACACAGAGTCATTAGTAAAATAACTTCTCCCATGGCTCACAGGGCCTTAACTTGGCCCCACCTTGGCAGACTTGATTTCAATAATATGGTGAATATTTCCTTTTGCCCTTCAGTTTGAAGTTTGCTATCTTTCTGGTGACTTCTGCTTTCTCTCTGACTTGATTGCCGAGGGCCAGAGGAGCTGAAGAGGGATCTATAATCTTTCAGTGGCTCCATTTGCAATGGCAGATGCATACCCCTTCCCAATTTTCTGGAGAAGTAAAAATAGGGCAAGTTAATGCTTCAGCTTGCTTATTTCCTTCTGCACTAAAACCATGAGTCCAGTGCTGGAAATCGTCCATAAGCAGAATCTGAAACTATATTTAAGGGTTTATGAACTAACCATAATAGATAAGAAAATCTGAAACTATATTTAAGGGTTTATGAACTAACCATAATAGATAAGAAAAAAAGCCAGTTCCACCTCTTGTGCTAGTGAAAAGGAGATATTAATAGATTGATGAATATCTGGACCATGAATTCCTCCTATACTGTTAGATGAGCCATCAATAAAATAAGTATCTGCCTGTGGAATGGAAAAAGGTTAAACAATTTTTGCTATCATAAATTTAGTTCTTATGAAAAAATCCCATAGTTTGCCAGCTGGATATTGGTTTCCTATCATTCCATAGTAATTTATGAATGAAATTTGAAAATTTATAAAGTTCTGCAACCCTCTTAAAAACTGATTGTTAGTTAAAAGTAATATAATAGAGCAAGGATCCCAAATCCATATAATTGTGGACATCAGTTCCTCTGATTTACTAACTAAGTAAGAAGAGTAAGGTAAGCAGTTAGTATTTTATGGCCCATTTGGGATAAATAGATACAGTCCAAATGTTTATCCTTTTGTGCTATAATACCTGTAGGAGACAGTTTAGTGGGGAAAAAAAATAACTAAATATAAAGGCAGTGAAGGAGCCATACTGCACATAAATGCTTTTTAGTCTGAATTAAAATATCTGTAGTACTTTTCTTGCCTCTCAGGATAATATGCAAAGACATGTCACCTCTCCTTCTAGAGTTTATAATATATATCGATTAGTGCATAAGTAGGTAAACATTTTGATTTTGCTGACATTGCATCAAATATACCACATGCAGCTTCTGAGGCTGGGGACAAATTGGTAAACAAATTCCATCTTCATGCTGTGCCCTAGCTTGCTTACATTGTAAAGTTAGCCTTTTCATAGGCTCTCCTAATTCCTTATTAAATAGTGAAGAGAATTCAAGATTAGATAGATTGTCACATTCGCTACACCTCCTTCTCTGAGGGTCCCCACTCTCTTATCGCAGAGCTGACTTCAGGCCCCTGATTTGTGATGCCGCTTGTTTACTGCTCTGGTTGGCAGTGTGAACCAGGGATAGTGAGGCCTAAAAATGAGGCAGATTAAAGTCTCATGTAATAGTCAACTTTATTTAGAGCATCAAACAATTATTAACTCTGGGGGTTAATAAGAGTCACCTGAGTAAAGTATGCAATCACAAGGACAAGCTGCATGTGGCAAAACATGTTTTTCTGTGGAGGCATATGAACCAATAATAGCCAGTTGTAATGAATAATCTGAAGAAAACCCTACATCTAGGAGGGTCAAAAAGCACACTCCAAGAACAACCTACGTTATGGAGGAGCAGAGGTTATCAGACTCTTGTCTTGTTTACTTGGAGTTTTCTCATAGGGTCTCAGACATATCATACAGCTTCATTCATGGACCATGTTATGACACCTTCCTAAACAGTTCAACAACTAGGAACCAGACATTCAAGTAGTCCACCACAGGAGCTTTTATTTGATAGTGTATGATATCTATCAGGGCATTGCCACCTCTACTAGAAAGAAAGGACCTCATTCTGTATCCCAAGATGACCTACAACTGAGAATGTAGTTACTGTAGGCTGGTCTTAAACTCAGTGTACTGCTGCTTCTGCCTCAATCACCCAAGTGTGAGCTACTACATCTGGCTTCAGTTAGGTCTGAAATTTCAAAATGGTTTCATTCAGAGAATGCTAATAATACTTAATGCCCCTTGATCAGATCCCAAGATACTTATATAAATAGATAATAAAACAAATACATTTATGAATTTATTGGTTTATTAAATAGTTAAGAAAGTAAATGTTTAAAAGAATACCTACTGACTCTTGGCATAGTTTTAAACACAGAGACTTGTAGCTTCTGACTTAAAATAAAGCTTTGGAGTGGTGTATCAGTTACTTTTCTGTTGCTGTGTTAAAACACCATGACCAACTTGTTTTGGGCATATGGTTTTAGAGGGATAGGTGGCCATGATGGCAGAGTGGAGGAAGTTAGCAAGCGGCAGGCAGGAGTGGTGCCTGCAGCAAGATATTGAGAGTTCACACCCTGAGCAAAGCACGGAGCAGAGAGAGTGGCATAAGTCCTTAAACTCTCAGAACCTGCCTTCAGATATGTACTTCCTCCAGCAAGACCACCTCTTAAACTTACCCCAAAAGTGCC